CCGACGGAGTTTGGGAGCGTCTCGATTCAGCCCGGGGTATGAGCCGTTGAACCTTTGGCCTTTTTGTCCTGATTTGTTTAAGTTAGGGTTTTGACGCACTTGTGCTTCTATGGTATTATTATTATTATTATTATTTTAAGTGACATCTTATGGCATTGAATATTTGATAAAGGTTTGATTGCATTAGCTTGACAATCACCAAATAGTCTCCAAACAAGCTTTTAACATAGTTGGTTCTTGGCATGTAGGTTTAGTTTCCCGCATTCTTTTTCTTGTTATGTTGAGCTTCCCTCATTCTTTTTCTTTCTCTTGGTTCTTAGCAATGTAGGTTTAGTTTCCCTCATTCTTCTACTTGTTATGTCGAGAATTTGTGCAGGAAATTAGAGGTTGCTCTTATTGGGAATAAAACCGGAGGGAATCGACTAAGATGGTATGATCATGTACAACGGAGACCTCTTAGTGCGCCGATTAGGGAAATTGATAATATTATAGTTAATGGGGCAAAGAGATCTAGATGTAGCTGGTAGAGCAAAGAGAACTTGGCTGGAAGTGATTTAAGAAGGATGTGATAATGGTTAACTCAACGGAGGAGATGGTCCGGGATAGAACGGAATGGAAGAATATGATTCATGTAGCCTATCCCAAACATTTAGAATAAAAAGCTTTGGTGGTGTTGTTGCTGAGAATTCATGTGACATGAATTCCATGCTGTAAGATAACTAGATGTCAAGGATTACAAATGATTGCTTAGATATTCAGATTGTTCTCCTGGTTTACTTATTTTAGATTAAATAGTTGGATCGAGATCTGATACCTGTAGTGGAATTTAGTGTAGAATGATTTAAAATTCTGTTTAGATTCCCAACCGTCATATCTATCAAGCCCTTGTTTTAACTACCAATTACGCTGTTGTCAAGGTTCTTTCATTTTTTTTTACCAACCACATGCAAATGTCCATGTATAATCATTTACTTATCCAAGTTTATAAGTTTTACGGTTAGGTTCGGCTTTGTGATCATATAGTCTTGGTTAGCAGCTTATGCATCTTCCAACATCAGTTTAGGACATTGCATATATAATGAAGACATTCATTCAACTGCTTTGAAATTTCAAAGGAAACAACATTCATATTTTATCTTTTAGCGATAATGAGCAAGCTCATATCACCTTTGTCTTCTGGAATGTATGTCTAAGTGGATGTATATATCAACTTGGATTGTTTTGTAGAGGAATGAATGACCTCAAAACTTCATGTAAAGATGTATTTTGATTCTTCTTTGTTTTGGGGTTCCTTAAGGTCTCATGAATGACGATTAGGAACAATTCGATATGAAGCATGGAAATTGCTTTGTTGGTGGGCAAGCTTGTATTTCTATGATTTTTTTTCTCATCTGACTTTGAAAACTCTATTGTTTTTTACTCCCTATTCACTAGGTCAATCAAAATCTTAGAGCTCTGGAATATGAGTTGTCAATCATCCAATCCGATAGTTTTTTTTAGTTTGGTCAGTGGAACTTGACGGGGTCTAGCTGACTTAAACGAATATGATACCCTTTTGGTCGTTTTTTGTATATGTTAAGATGGAATTTCACTTATGGTGGGAAGAGTAATTCAATTAATCATTGATACGTGCCTTTTTAACTTATGCTTGGTACATTCTTGAAGTCAATTATCATCATTGCCCTCTCCATGTTCTTAACTTGTGTGAAACTAGGTGATGCAAAACGGGGGAGGGGGTCCATCGGAATCAGCAATCTAAATTGAACAACGCACCGTTTCGCCAAAATTCATGATCTTAGGCAGGAAATTTAATCTAAAACAGTTAATGTGACAAATGGATTTTAACAAGATTTGCAACGATAGTCATAAACAATCCCAATCTCGAATAATTTAATCGCAATATTAATTATCATTTTCGCAAGTTCTAAGATCAATATCAAGTTTAAGCAGTCACGTGTTCAAATACTCTCAACTCATAATTATAATGTACGCAGTGAATATAAGACAAGAGGTTAGAGATGTATTCTTCATGCAATTAACTAACAAAATAAAATCAACAGAAAAATAAGGGACGAAAGAAAACGAAACATTCGTCGGTCTGAACAGACTCGACGTGAGAGACCTCTGGAGGTGGTGCGACGACAACGGTGATTTAAACGTCGATGATGAGGCGGAGATCCGATGACGACGAGTGCGACGGTGTTGAATTGATGACGACGCGGCGACATGATGAGGGTGCTGCGATGTCCCACGGGTAGTCGTCGGGTCGATGCAGGTGGCGGGCGTCAGGATGACGGCAGTGACGTCAAGACGAAATAAACAATGACTCGAAGAGTGGAGGAGGACGGAGGGAAATCGACGACTGTTGAGATGGTTATGACGGCTTACAGAGGCGGGAACAACGACTGCTCGAAGGTAAGTAGAGCAGGGAGAGATCAGCAGCTTGTGGAAGAGAAGGGGTGGGGGCAGCGAGGCTGTGAGATGAACAGATGAACGGGAGAAGATAGAGGTTTAACGGCTAGAAGAAGAGGAACATGTATTGGCCTAGGGTTTCACACCCGAGGCCTAGGTTTCACACCCAAATTAAGCCAACTCAAATTTTATTTTAATTTTCAATAATTTATTGATTTTTAATAATCTCATACAACCTTATTTATAAAAAAAACTACGTGCACACAACGTGCAATAAAAATAGAAACAAATAACAATCCCTCAAATCACTCAACTAAAATTAAACTAAATTTTAAAATTCAAAAATATACCAACTAATCAAATATTATCATTTCTTATCCTCATTACTAGGGCCTCAGAATGGATCATCATGTTGGGAAATTTATGAAGATACACCTTTGGTTGCATGTAAGCAAATGATTAATAGATTTAAAAAGAATGGCAGGACTATCCCATGGTAAGTGTAGTGTAGCTGATAATTAGTTACTATGTTCTTCTCATGTTTTTCTCTTACTTAGAGGGGGAAACAAGTTTCGAATAAGCACCAAGGTGTCACTTTTCTTTTCCAAGTAAAAGGACTTGGAAGAGCTTTTTGAGTAGTACAAAAGAGGTAAACAACTATGCCTCCTCTTAGTCTTATGCAGATCTCTTATCATTAATGTTCTCCAATCTTTAACATGCAAGTAGACATGCCCCAACTGAAAGTTGTGTGTTATAGAGCCTAATTATTGCCTTTAACATCTGGAAGTCATTTGGTCATATATATAATACAATTTCATGAATATGATTTTTTTTATCTTTTATTGAAGAAATTTGTTGAGGAAAGCTTACAGGTAAATCGGACTCTCAGGCTTTCTATAGAATGAATTGATCTATAGGTTGCATTGAAGATTAACTGAAGGATGACATGAAATTTTTTAAAGCATGGGTGGCAACTGTTGGCTCCCTGTTGGCTTCCAAACATTATACTCGTTTATCCATTCAATTTATGAGGACCATACAACTCAATGAACTATAAGAAATGTAAGATCTTGCCTAGATGTAGAGACCAGTACGCCTTCTTGCTAAATCTTTGATTTGTCCTAAACATGGATACGAATAAAAGACATGCAGACGGAGATAACAATTTCCTTAGACTAGGAGGGCGCACAATTCACAAATTTGTAGCAAGGGTTACAAATTTGTAGCAACAACAATGGTGATGATAAGCAGGCCTAAGTATATCACTACAACAAAATACAACATTACTGACGAAACAAAAACGTTAGCAAAAGTTTAAAAAACATTGAGAAAAATCTTTCCCGACGTAAAATGCAGCGTCGCTAACGCGTCACCAAAAGTGCGTCAAGGAAAATATTTGGCGACACAAACACACTGCGTCGGTAAAAGTCAACACTTTTGGTGACGCTTCCTGCGTCGGGAAAAATACATCTTTTAGCGACGCATAATATTTTGTGTCGGTAAAAGTATGCAGAATTTTTTCATATGCAAAAGTGTGTCGGCAAAACTTGGTACTTTTGTTGACGCATGCAGCGTTGGTAAAAGCCAATGCGTCGGTAAAAGTATAGCTTTTAGCTATGTAAAACTGTTTGTCGCTAAAAATTATACTTTTGACGACGCAAGTTAGCGTCGGTAAAAATGTAGCTTTTAGTGACGCAGAATGAAGCGTCGCTAAAAACTATATCTTTGGCGACGCAAGATAGCATCGCTAAAAGATATAATTTTTAGCAACACATAATTATGCGTCGGTAAGAAGTATACTGTCGACACTAATTTGCATCACCAAAAGTAATATCTTTTCTGTTAACTATAAGCCTACACTGAACCTGAACATCCACAAAAAATTTTCTTCCATTCGCATCAACAAAGAAACCAAACATCAAATTATACTCCACACAGTTGCATATTATGATAAACAAAGAATTTACTCTCATTGCAAAATAGTTACATTTATTTTTATTTCCAAGTCAACACTCAAAGGCCTATTTAAATATTCCAGTTTGCTTGTAATCCATGAAGGAAAAAAAGAAACACAATGGAAAGAGAGGAAAAGGTGAAAGAAAAGAAAGAAGGGAACAACTGTTTAAATATTTCAGTTTGTTTGTAACCTCATGACAAGTTCTTCCTTGTTTCCAAGATAATCAAATCCAAGTTCCTGCATAACAAGAATAAAACAGTATCAAAAAATTTTAAAATTATTTGAGAAATGCTACACATTCTATAAAAAGTTTTGGGTGTATATATATCATATTCATTAAACCAAAAGCATACACATGACAAAATAAATTTTGTGCAGCTTTTGTGAATTGTGCATTTCTTCGTATTTAGAACTTCCGATTTGCAAATCATAAATCATATATGGTTTGATCAGATAATTTAGAATCCTATTGATTGTATTCTAGTTTGTTTTTGGCTGATGAATGTATTCTAGTTAATATACATGATCACAATCTTCAGTCATGATTTCTAGATTTTAAGAAATTTCAGTTTACAACAGATTTTAGTGCACATGTATCAGATCTGTGACTAGATGTGTTCCTAAATTCTATCGGTCATATCCTAGGTAACAACCGAAACACCTGTTC